TTGACTTGGCTTCAAACAACACCTGTCAATAAAAGATCAAAACATGACCAATACACAAGGCGACGCTCAAGTGGGGTCCGACTAAAATATCGTCACTCTGCCTATCAAATGACAGGGTAAATACAACTTTTCGACTTGATGAGGTGCGTTGCCAAGCTCTTTCATTCCGCCTCATACTGACTGCTGAGAGAGAAATATAGACATCTCCCATCTCTTGAGTAGAGCTAGGATTCCATTGCTTTAGTGATAACTTCACTACCTTTCTAATTTTGGTGCGAATGCCATCTGCAGGGAACTTGGCCACCACTATACGGGTCGGTACTCAACTTGAATGACCGAACGCTGGGTGCCCCATTGAGGTCAAGGATTCATTTTCAAATCTTGTTGGCCGCTTTGTCCTCCCGTGCAATAATTACTCTTTTGTTCCACAGATGATGAAGTACCCGCCTTCGACATCTTGATTTTCAAAGCAGTGCTCTAGACACATCTTCTTATCAACTAGCCTAATTACCCTGGGTTTGCACTTCTTATGATGCAGCCCTAGCCGCGAAGGTAGTGCCTACATGCATTCCGTCCATAGCTAGTAAGAGCACGAACTGGGTTTTTTATGACGCTAGTTCCCCATTCGTTTGTGGCTCTTAAGACGGTCACTAGAAGAGTAAACTATAGCGGCTCTTCTTAACGTGAGCCGCCAATAACTCGACGCCTTCCATGACTAGCACACGTCCAACCCCTAGGAGGTGGTGTGAGGTACCCCTCGTCCTCGCCCGAGCAAACCTCGGATCTCAAAAGTCGGGCTGGCTCCACCACAACAGCATGGTACCCCCCCACCTAAGCGGTCACTCCGAGACGGTAACAGGGTCGGCCCCTAAGGCAACGAACCCCCGCCTCAGATGCCTCATAGGGAAAGGAAATGCACTTACCACAGCAGATGGTCAGCCCTTATCGCCTGATGTCAAGAGCGAACCTAGGCGAAGAAGGAGGTCACACGGAAGAAAAACATTCATGTGGAAGGGCACAGACAAAGAGGGTCATTCAGGAAGGAATGGGTAGCCTTAGGGAAAGTCTACGTCCATTTGATTTCAACTTTTTCGTGTGACCAAGTTTTTTTTCCGTCGTCAACTTGTTGTCCTTCCCTTCAACACACATGCTGGCAAAACAGTAGAAGACAACCATCCTTCCATTCACTTTCGTTAACATGATTACACCTTCTCTTTTCGAGCTCCCTTCTACCTACCTGCACATCAGATCAAACAACAAGTTCAAAGAAAAACAATGCATTCCCAGATTCATGTCAGACTTCCATTCACGCGTGCAAACAAAACACAACTTCCTCTACCTTCTCAGTGAACATTCAAAGAACATGGTCGAGCAAGTGTGGGTTCACACAGGTGTGAAGGGGAATCTGAGTCATTCAACTGACCTTGAGTGAAGCTGACCCAGAGATAGCAGCCGACCCACTCAAGAAAGCCGTATAAACCACACTCCAAATGAGAAGATCGCCACAGTGAGCTGTTAGACACGTAATCCACACCACATCTTGGTAGCGATCGCTTGTCACAGCACCTTCACAACTATAATCACCTCTTAAAAAGTCTAGCGATACTTTGACGTCACCGCCTCACGTCACCAACACCACCACACCGGTAGTACCACTACCGTGCCGATGCGTCACCGCCGCATTATGCGGACAGCACANTACTTTGACGTCACCGCCTCACGTCACCAACACCACCACACCGGTAGTACCACTACCGTGCCGATGCGTCACCGCCGCATTATGCGGACAGCACAACGCCAACACCTCCTCAACGTACACCCCTCCTAATTGATGCTCCTCAAGACTGTCGTTGCCGCCGCAAAACCCAGATAATACTTCCACACCACTGCAAAAAAAACACCGCTGCTGCCACAAAATTTCGGCAGCGCTTCCGCATCACCGCCCCAAAGAACCAGCTGCCGTGCCAAGCGGACAACACCTCCCCTACACACTTCTCAAAGATGGATGTCGCCGCCAAGAAAGCCACGCAGCATSTCWCCTACACTCCTCCAAGTGCARCGACARCTATRACTGCCCTCAATCTCAGACTCMYTGCAGACCTCGAGCGCTCCTCTTTCCCTCCAYCCTGCTGAGATGGCGGCTATGGCTRTGTTCCACARCTATGGCCACCTTCAGCAGTCYTCCCCTCTCTCTCTTSCAAACCTCCACTTGCAGCACCGCCCCACAACARCARCCAGCCAGCCAGCATTCACTCAAGTGAATGCCTCAGCAGCACTGCCACAACTTGTGAGGCTGCTGGGTGGAATGCTGGCTTTAATAGCCAGCCGAGAACATGTGGGCAACTGCTTTGCCCACAGCCAGAACTCGGAATGAGGYSTGGCCCTTGRTCTAAGACGCGATCAAGGGCTACAAAGCTTGTTGTTCCCCTAGGGGAACTGGGTTCAGGCCATTGGAAATGTATCTGGCCCTCACCCGCGGCCGGACGCCATCCAAAAATGGCTGTACTCAGCCATTTCTCAGCAGACTGTTGAAATCAACAGTCTGCTGTCAATTCTCAGTCCAGATGCTTCTAAACTTGCATCCGGACCGAGGCCGCGGCTAGATTCGCGACCATTTTTTTTTTTCCAATTTTTTTTTTTTTCCCTTCTTTTTCTAGGCAGGGGCAGCTCGTTGTTCAAGAAACGGACGAGCACGTCCCTCCCCCAAGTCATTTCACAGAGTCGAACTAGAGTTGGCTCAACGGGGTCTTATTTTTCCCCCTTTGCCCTGCGCCCGTACCTGGACGCTTTCAGCGCCAGGTTCGGGCGCGCAGGCAAACGCTGCAACCCGTTCCAAAATCCAACGGGCGCAGGTAAGCTGGTGTCTCTCTCTCTCTCTCTCTCTCTGAATTTAGCCGCTTAGGGCGGCAGATGTGTTTGCCCATCCGTAGATGGGCTGTCGAGGTTTAACCTCCTGATGAGTCGGTGGAAGTCCGATGAAACAGTGTAGCGCAGTCATGTCAACCTGTTCGTTCGAAACGAACGGGCACTGAAAAAAACAAAAATCTAAATCGAATCTAAAAAATAAAACCTTAAAAAAATATAAACAAAATTTAACCAGAGAAAACGAAAACAAAAAGAAGAGAAAAACCCCTACCTATGTGCCTGCCCGTTTCTAACGGGCGCCTGTCTCTTCACTGGGAACTTAAAGTTCCCAGTCACTTCCAAATGCGCTAGGTGGCACGTCGTTTCCTGTCTTGTTGTTGTTGTTGTTGTTGGGTTTTTTTTTTTTTTTTTCCCCCATTGGCATAAGCCAACGGTTGTGTCATCACGTGGCTGAAAGCCACGATACAACCCCGAATGTCGGGGTGTAGTCCCACCAGCAAGGAGGATCGGATTGAGTGTCCGAATCTGGACGGGTTTGCGAAGATGTGCAGGAAGCTGAGATCGAACTGCTTTTCACCTTCCTCTTTTATTTTTTTCAAATAAATTAAAAAAAAAAAAAAAGTCAAATCAGTTTTCGATTTATGCGTGCCATCTTTGCACAGGGTCAAACTAATCTCGGCGCGGCTGATTTCAGCTGCGCGATCTCAAGGATCGCACGACCGAAATCGGTCGTGCCTAACCCCACGTTGCGGGCTGTTCTTAAAGGAGCTGGCCCAGTAGGATGCAACTTCTCAGATTCGATCCCGGTATCTGGCGGGTGACAGTCGTCTGCTTGAACCTACTGGGCTAGCTCCTACCACGGTATAGGTAGGAGCAGCTCTTCTGTAAGAAGAGCTTGCCCAATAGTTATTCATCGTGTCGGGGCTGTGCAGGCCTCAGTTGACTGTGTGACCTTGACATCGGCCTTAGAATTAAAACTCTTCTTCCTATTCCCCCTGCGTCGCGGCTTTATACCCGGCGCACACCCCTTTTTAGCCTACTTAGGTCCTGAATCGCGGGGGGTGTTATATTCTAGGTAGACTAGGTCTAACTTTAGTTTTTCCATGACCGCACATTAATGCGGCCTCGTCGAGAACCGTAGACGACAATGCCGACTCCCGCTGTCTTGAACGGATGTCGATGTCGTTACACGTCACGGACGTCAGGTTTTAGGTCTCTCAATTATAGGGTCAGTCTGACTAACTTTGGCAACGTCAATCTCATCAAGTTCCTAAATCCAAAAATCGGACAGCGTCTGACCTTGAGAACCCTGGGTAGAAACCCTCACAGGGGTTTCTTTCCCGACAGCCTTCCCCGCCCCCATTAAGCGACGTCCCCGTCGCTTGCAGTAGGGCAATACATGGCGACGTCTTTACCATATAATCACAATACACCTGGAATTAACTCAGATTTTATATACTTATACGGGATGAGCGACGTTTCCGCCGTTCATCTTCCTTTTCTTTCATAATCTTTCGGATACCCTTTATGAAATTCTCCGTGTAGACTCCATTACCGACAACAAGAAGGGCTTACTTTCAAGCCTTTAGCATAGAGGCTTACTTTCAAGCCTTATGATTCTTTCGAACCTTCCTTCGAAAGTACTTTCATTCAGTCACGAGTTGGAATGGGGCCAGTTACAACCTCTGGCAGGCCTTTCTCCGGAACCTGAAACCTACTGTTGGCTTTACCCAACCTGAGGAATTACAATACCACTTTAGAAGAACGATCTCAGCATCATCCCACTGGTGGCCACTCATCCTTTCTTTTGTTTCTCATAGATGAGTTAGGCTTATCCCCCTGATGGGACTCTCTTCAGGCTATTACCCCCTGCCTAGGTCTCGTCAGGCTTAACCCCCTGCGGGTCTTTCGTCATACAGCACATACTGTCAGGAATTTAACTTGGGCCTCTCATGTTCATGGGGGTGCATTCCTAACATCTCAGCATGTCTCTCGCTGTCAGGAGTTTAACCCGGGCTCCCCACAAGACGCAAGGGTACTCACACTATACTACAGCATGTGTCGGCACCATCCCAGAGAGGAATCACCCTTTCCAAAAGTCCTTGTCCAGTCCGGCTAATTTTCATTCCAACTTAATTGTCATGCACGATTTATCTCATTCATATCTTGTGAATGCGTCGAGGAGTGGTGTAATCCATAAAGGAGAACATCTCGACGTCAAGCCCCGCTTTAGACCCGAGCCTCACCACTTTCCCTCCGATTCCAGTGTCATACATTCGTTAGTACCCTACCTACAAGGTTGAACTACCCCTCCCTTACGACCTAAGCTGATCAGGCTCGGCTATAAAGTCGAGGCGACCCCGTTCGCCACAAAACAAAAGGTGATCAATCTTTCCCTCACGGCGAGCAGTAATCGCCACCCTCACAAGCAAGGTTCCTACAAACATATTACCACCTTCCTCCCTTTCGACGATAGTGTAGCCATTCTCCTCGAGCGGAAAGATGGTAACATCCTGCTATGGACCAGGAACAAAGTTCTGGCGCAGGCCTCAGTACCGTCTACGGGGCTCACAACATTAGGATTCCTCACTGCATGACAATTAACACAATACCAAGTCATGAGGCATGACGAGCAATCGAATCACATGTCCGACGAATAACATGTGTTAATCCAGCCAGACATATGACCCAAGTACAAATCATCCCCCTAGATCTGCACTGACAAAATTTCGCACTCATAACCACATACACGGAGTTTCGTAAGACTTCCAATTTTTTTCAATCCTTCACATATGTGATGAACACTCCAACAATATAAATATCCATCAGCTATTGCAGAATACATTTTTTGCAATGAATATTCAATCATGATAAGAATCTCACAAAGTCCTTTGGTATCATAATCATCTTACAATTGTTCGTGACAATAAGACACAGATCCCTTATAACATTTTACTCAAAACAACAGGAGTCACAATCCCATTGATAACTTTTCAACCTCAATACCTTTATTAATACTTTACAACTTTCTTGGTTAGCCTAAAAACAGAAGTCAGAATCAGTTGAACCACAATACAAAAGCTAGGGGAATTACCAAAATTGATGCCACCAATTACCTCCTTTACCCTTCCTTTCTAAAAGTTTTCACTAAACTCTTGGGATAGACTTTCGTAGATGTGCACCCGATACCTAATTTCTACTCCGAGATCCATCCAATTCCTCTATTTCATATGCCCCATGTTCTGTTTTCATAGTGATCCGATATAGTCCTAGTCACCGACTGTCTAGTTTTCTGGACCACCGTTTTTTTAGCGACATATGATACAACAAGACGATGTCTCCCACTTCCAACGACTTTTTTCGTACACGTGGCCTTTTGTCCCATCTTTCCTTGTCAGCCTGCCTGCTTTCAGAAGTAGAGACAGTCGCATCCTCGATCCGTTCTTCAGTCGCCATGATCTGTCTTGCCCTCAATTCCAACAACTCTTCTATTGAGAGCTTCGTTTCCACGTCCTGTTTCTGCCAAGTGATCAGGAAACTCCCAATCGGAAAAGTCGCATGTCTTCCAAACCACAATGTGACGGGGGCATACCCAGTTGTTCGCTTGATGGTAACATTCTCAACAAAAAAGGTTGCCCTCAAATAAATTGGTCATCGTGATGGTTCCCCCTTGCACCATTTAGCCAACAAGTTAGACAAGGTGGCATGTCCTCGTTCCACAGGTGCATTGGCTTGGGGATGCGTTCTCGTCGTACAATTGAAACTTACCCCAAGCCTTTTCAAAAGCGTTTGCACCTCCTTTGCCCGAAACTCGCCTCCTCGATCCATAACAATCTCTTGAATAAATGGATAACGAAGGTAATATTCCTCCATGCAATCCGCCAAGACTGACCCAGTACGTTCGCGAATGGCACGACCATCAACGAACCCAATCAAATTGTCCCTAGCATCGAAGATATAACTGTACCCATTTATCCCAGGCGACATTACCAGGAGATCCAAATGCATCAACGCGCCCGGTTCTGCCACATACTGTGGATTTAGGGGCTCGAGGTAGCGGATGTTAGACCTCTGTTGGCAAGGGAAACAAGACTTACAAAAGTCAATCACCATCTTGCTCATTCCTTCCCAGAAATAGAGACGTTGGATCTTGTTCAGAGTTACCCGCGCAGACCTATGCCCGCCGGCTACCCCGTCATGCAAGGCAGTGATCACATCCAACTGTCGAGAGGTTCCGCATACCACCCTCTTGTGGACACCATCAACAACTCTCTTAAAGAGATGACCATCACGAACATCAAATCCTTTGTTCTTCTCCCGCACAACCAGATCAACCTCGTTTTCGCCCAATTCCCCATTCAACCACATGCCTATTTTCTTATATTCCCCTTCGTACTCCTTTTCCTTAAATGCTTCTTTGACCTCACTGCCTTCTTCCTCCGCATTCATTAACCTCAGACGATCCTCGTAAATCAACAAATTCATGATATATGACATCCTTCCAACGATCTGGAAAGCGTCATCAGCCTGCGTATGGCCCTATTCAATCGTTAGCGGATCAAGCATAAGATCGATGTCACCGGTCAAAACCAGCCTCATCATTTCCTCTGCGGTCTGCTCGCCCCATGGATCCTCTTCGATGAAAAGTTCCTCCACCTCGAGTTTCGGACATACCTCGTGAAAGGCAGGAGCATTCCATATCGATTTCCCATGCCGAGTGGCTGCATCAGTAAGGTAGGCAAGAGTGTTAATACTCAATCGCGACTCCTCTTCCTTCAGAAAGGCATCGACCAGAATTGATTCTTCCGCCTGATCCGCCTTTGGGTCCCATTCAACCCGACTCAACCCATCAGCACGATTCTGACTCCCCGAAATCCGCTCAATTTCAAAGTCAAACATCCAAATATAAGTCAACCATTGTGCAATGGTGGGATCAGCAGGTGAATAATTTCTTAAGGATTGAGCCAATGCAGTCGGATTCACCCGCAGGATGAAGCGTCTACTGAACACATAATTACGAAAGATGCGGAAGCAGTGAAGCACAGCCAAAGTTTCCTTTTTGAACTGGGAATAGCTCCTCTCAGCAACGTTCAGGGTCCTGCTCTCAAATCTGAGAAGGTCTTTCCTGCCCTTCAGCATCCCTCTGAATTAAGACCTCTCCTAGGGCTGTAGGCCCCGCATCAGTCTCAATAACAAAAGGACGTTTTTTATCATCGTCGAAGAAAGGAACTCCAAGGATCAATCCGCCCTCAAGGAACTCACTCTTTATATCTTTCACGGCCGCTTGCTGCTTCGGACCCCATTCCCACTTCTGGCCTTTGCGCACAAGCTTTCGCAAGTGCTCCACTCTGGCGGCAAACCTGCGGATGAAGATGCGCCAAAATCCACAGGTTCCGAGGAAGCTTCGCACATCTGTGATCGACTTGAAAGGCGTTGGCCATTCCAAGATTTTATCAGTCTTCTTGGCATATGGCCGGCGACCTTTCTCGTTACAAAGGAACCCCAAGATCACTGCTCTCTTCATACAATGTCGAGACTTAATCCCACTAGCTGTGAGATTAAACTCCTTCAACCTCTTAAGAACTTTCACTTTTGATATGCTCCCAAACAAAGCGGCGAATGCCCAACAACACCTCCGTCAGGTCCTTCGTACGAGATCCTGGAATAGCCAAGTCGTCAATATACGATGAAGTTATGTCAGGGTAATAAGGCTGCATAACCCTTGTCATATATCTCTGCACAATGGCAACTGCATTCGTCCACCCCTGCGGCGCCACGCACATATGGATCAATCCACGAGGACTGTGCGTCGCCATCTTGGGCCGATCCGCAGTGTAAATGAGAAATTGATCATACCTGGAATATAAATCAGTGAGGGTGATGATAGACCTCCCTGCACAAGACTCCGACAGTAGGTCTGCATGTGGGAACCCACCTGCATCTCGCACTGTCACCGAATTCAGCTTCTGAAGGTCCTGAGTCCATCGCAGAGTACCATTCGGTTTGAAGAAACAGAACCATGGAGATGCATACGGCCCATAAGAATAATCTGCAACTTTTGTCCGGATCTTTCCATCGAGATACGCGACCACTTTACGGTGATCCTCCGGATTCGGATAACGTGGCCCCCTTACATTCCATGGCTCGTGTGGTACAGTATGAACTCTAATCATCGGAATTTTATCAACATTCAGCCTTCCTCACTCATTATCATCAAACGCATAGGCGAGATGTTCCTTCCTCAATATATCAACGATATATTCTTTTTCCTGTTCAGTAAGGAGGTCCTCCTCCCTAATGATCATACTTCCCATTCTTTCTTTGGTTAACCGACATGACCCTTTTTCACCTCTCTCTTTCATTTCTCTGATCCACTCGCGCTCCTCATGATAATAGACTTCTTTCTCCTGAGTGATCAGAACAAGTACCGGCTTCGCCTTCACACCTACTTTCTTGTACTTACGTTTGGCGCCGGTGTCAAGCCTGCGTCCTCTAAAAAAGGACCCTGTCGAGTGGAGGGCAATTCCTGACCTTCTCCCTTATCCCCGTCCGATGGGGAGTAAACAAGGCGCATAGTTCCTGCGCTTCCAGTGTCCGTGATGATCTCCGTCAAGGCTTGCACCACATTTGGATCGATCGCCGCATGTGTCAACACAAAATCGATCGTCTGCCCAATATCAGGCAGTGTCAGCGAGAACTCACGAGGATTCGACTCCTCCCCTAACGATTTCATCTCCCTCCTCAACTTTTCTGACTCTGGGAAGGTATAGGATTCCGGGTTCAGCCGGTTCCGCGAGCAAAAGGGTCCAGTGTTCGCACACTTGACCACTTCGTAATAACCGCAGACAAGATTGCAAAGGATCACAAACATGGTTCCATCATGCTTGGTAATGATGATGCTCTCCGATCGATATAGGAATGCCCTTCCCAGAAGCACCTCGTGTTCCACTCTAGGTAACACGTAGAAATAAGAGCGGACTTTCACCTTAACGACCGTGACGAGAACGCCACTGACTGTCCCGCAGAATGGGGTCGATCCGCTAGCTCCCACCAAAAACCCATAATCATCTCGGTTGATCTTCAATCCAGCTTCGATGGCATGGGGCTCACGAATGATGTTCATCTCAGCTCCATCATCCACAAGTGTCGAGTACTTTTGTTGTCCAATCTGGACCTTCATATGGTCGGTCGACACACTTCGCCAATCCATCTTCGTCCCAGGCGGGGACCAGTTAGCCTCCGGCGGAATGACTTCGCCAAGCTTAACAGTCATGACTCTCTTGCGAGTCATCCGCTGTTTAAACTCTTCTCGAATCTTCGGCGATACCGCCAAAATTTCCTTCAGCGTGAGCAAGTCGCGTTGACTTTCCAAAATCTTAATAACGAGTCGCTCGATATCGACCCCCTGCTCCACGGGGATCGAGTAAATATTCTTCTTCTTTCGCGGCTCTTCCTCGCTTGCCTCGACCTTCTCTTTCTCCGTCTCCCTTTCTAGTGCACGATGACGAGCCCGTTCTTCCTCTTCGGTCCGCAACTTCTCATCCTCGTTATCCTCATCGTTCTCACTAATGGGGATAGGCTCTTCTTCCACTTCCTTTTCAGACTCTCTTTCCTTCTGAAGCTGCTCGTTTCGTCGCTGCACCCGAGTCTGAACGGCTACAGTCGGGGCACTCCTCTTTAGCACAGGCCTAGGTCGCATCGTGATTACCATTGGCCCAGTTTGCGATGCTTCTCTCGGAGCAGACGTCCCTGCTTGGCCAGGCGCCTCTTCCCTTTTATCACCCCACTCGCCGAAGAGAAAAACATTCGGCAATCCAGGCTAGACTTCCTTTATGTCCACGCAAAGTCGGATGATAGAGTTCCAGCATCGGGCAAGCCGCCTTGTGATGGTTTGCGCTCTTTCCACCACTTGCTCCCTGAATCTTTCCGTCTCCACCGGTGAGTCGCAAATACGCAACGATGCCATGGCCTCCTCGACCTCGGCCAACCGCACTTCTTCGGGAGAAGCAATCCGGAATGTCGTCGGAAGCGGACGACTCATTCGGCGAAACGCCTCCTTCCTCATACCCCCTTCAATGTTGGGGTCGATCGAGTTCCCTTCATAATCAAAGACTTCATCACGTATCGTGGTGAAGACAATTCCTTCCTTCTCGTCTCTTGAAAGGAGTTGGCAAAACCGCATAATATGGCCCTTTTCTGCACAATAGTTACATGTGGCTTTCTGTTGCCACGCCCAACGGTTTCACTGTCCATTCCCACGGCCTCGACCGCGGCCTCTTCCACCCTGCGGCTGGAACTGCCCTTGATCTTGGGAACTTTGTCCTGACGGACCACTGCCAGCACCGTCATTCCCCCCTTGATTATTTTGTCCGTCATTCTTCCCCTGCTAACGGAAGGTCCCCTGTCCACCTCGAATTTGATTCAAGACCTTCCTCTCTGCCTTTGTCAACTTGCGAGGCGGCTCCTTTTCCTCTTCGCTCTCACTGTCATTTTCTTCTACCACCGGCTCTTTCCCCTTCCTCTTACTATTTTTCTCTTTGGCCAGCATGACTTGAAACTTCAGTCTTTCCTCTTTCATGCCTTCCATCATTTCTCTCATGCAGGTCAAAGTTTTGTAGATCTCACCGTCTTTTACCTCTCCCAGCTTCACCTTCTTCCGTTCCTCCTTTTGTTGCCTCAACAGCCGGTAAAGGATATCGTCGAACTTCCCCACTAGCGCATTTTGTCGGACCTTAGTCCAGTCATACCTCCCTTGCATCCCTTCAACCAACTTCGACTGTCCGACGTCGTTGAAGTTATCAAGGAAGATGAGGCAGTGATCTTTATCGGATAAATCCGGGATTAGGCGAGCAACACGCTCGAACTCCGATAAGAATTGTTTGGTAGTACCAAACTTCTTACGATCCACCGCCCTCAAATCTTGCATGTCGAGTAACCGATCGTTGAGCTGGTAGTTCTCCAGCAACCGCGCCTTAAAATCTGGCCAATTACGGGAGATTCGCACCAGCTCATCGATCTCATCTCGGTACTCCACCTGACAATACCTCTTAACCATGCGAAGCATTTTCTCATCCGTCCATTCGTTGCTATACCCCAGTTGCTCAAACTTGTCTGCCCAAGAAGAGGCATGATTCCCATCAAACAACGGGACATCAATCTTAGGGTAGGGCTCTCGCTGCAATTGTCGAATGATCTGTGCCAGTTCTTGAATGTCGTTCCTCCCGTCGTCAACGCTATCATGACCTCATGTGGCACCGGCCATCTAGAGACAAAAACATAAACCAAAAAATTCAGTCTAAGGGCTTTGTGGCATATATTACGGCTTCTTCCTTACAATTGTAGAAGTTCAAAGATTGCTAGACTTTTTTCTTTGACAACCACTACGGCATAATCTTTTACTTACTCCATTCTCGAGTATCGTTCCACCAGGGACAACGGTAGTTTGCCGTTATCCCCGACAACGACGCCACCTGTCGAGCGCATCGGCCCCCGCGCGAGCGAGGGCTCTCCCGGCCGCGTCACGCAGGAGAAACTTAGCTTTCAAACTTTTTAGAGACAACTCGGGGACGACGCGGTAACTCGCGTCGACCCTTCGCCGCTCCGGCCGAGTGCGTCAGCTGTACATCCCGCGGTCCCCTACGACAGGATAGGTTTTCGCGGGGCACAACTTACCTTCCCTAAGGGGCTGTCACCACCCTTAGGGGCGTATCCCTACCAAGCTACCGACCCAAATGCGAAGGCTTTTATAGCGCAGTTGCAGAGGTAAGTCGGCCGAGGGCGTTTGCTCGTTCGTTGTACCATAGGTACGCATGGTTAAACGCCAAAGTGAACCCGATCGTCGTCCGTCCCTGGGGCGCTAATCTCCCATGAATCAGAACATACGCCGGTCGACTAGGACGTGATAACCTGGGTGTAAGAAGATCTCGATCGATCCTAGTCCCTTCTTTCAAAGACAATCAAGAGTCACTCAGACAAACCCTTTCAAAAAAAAAGACTGAGGTCATCGCAAGTTGACTTATCTTTCGAAATCAACCTATATGTAATCCAATCATGCATACGACAAAGGTTGACTTGGCTTCAAACAACACCTGTCAATAAAAGATCAAAACATGACCAATACACAAGGCGACGCTCAAGTGGCGTCCGACTAAAATATTTTCACTCTGCCTACCAAATGGCAGGGCAAATACAACTTTTCGACTTGATGAGATGCGTTGCCAAGCCCTTTCATTCCGCCTCATACTGACTGCTAAGAGAGAAATATAGACATCTCCCAGCTCCTAAGTAGAGCTAGGATTCCATTGCTTTAGAGATGACTTCACTACCTTTCTAACTTTGGTGTGAATGTCATCTGCAGGTAACCCGGCCACCACTATACAGGTCGGTACTCGACTTGAACGACCGAACATTGGGTGCCCCATTGAGGTCAAGGATTCATTTTCAAATCTTGTTGGTCGTTTTGTCCTCCGGGCAATAATTACTCTTCTGTTTCACAGATGACGGAGTACCCGCCTTCGACATCTTGACTTTCAAAGCAGTGCTCTAGACACATCTTCTTATCAACTAGTCTAATTACCCTGGGCTTGCACTTCTTATGATGCAGCCCTAGCTGCGAAGGTAGTGCCTACATGCACTCCGTTCATAGTTAGTGAGAGCACGAACTGGGCTTTTTATGGCACCAGTTCCCCATTCGTCTGTAGCTCCTAAGACGGCCACTAGAAGGGTAAACTATAGCGGTTCTTCTTAACGTGAGCCGCCAAGAACTTAACTCCTTCCATGACTGGCACACGTCCAACCCCTAGGAGGTGGTCTGAGGTACCCCTCGTCCTCGCCCGAGTGAACCTCGGATCTCAAAAGTCGGGCTGGCTCCACCACGACAGCATGGTACCCCCCCACCTAAGCGGTCCACTCCGAGACGTTAACAGGGTCGGCCCCTAAGGCAACAAACCCCCGCCTCAGATGCATCATAGGGAAAGGAAATGCACTTACCACAGCAGACGGTCAGCCCTTATCGCCTGACGTCAAGAGCGAACCTAGGCGAAGAAGGAGGTCACACGGAAGAAAAACATTCAGATGGAAGGGTACAGACAAAGAGGGTCATTCGGGAAGGAATGGGTAGCCTCAGGTTAAGTCTACATCCATTTGATTTCGTTTTTTTCGTGTGACCAAGTTCTTTTTTCGTCGTCAACTTGTTGTCCTTCCCTTCAACACACATGCTGGCAAAACAATAGAAGACAACCATCCTTCTATTCACTTTTGTTAACATGATTACACCTTCTCTTTTTTAGCACCCTTCTACCTACCTGCACATCAGATCAAACAACAAGTTCAAAGAAAAACAATGCATTCCCAAACTCATGTCAGACTTCCATTCACGTGTGCAAACAAAACACAACTTCCTCTACCTTCTCAGTGAACATTCAAAGAACAGGGTCGAGCAAGTGTGGGTTCACACAGGTGTGAAGGGGAATCCGAGTCATTCAACTGACCTTGAGTGAAGCTGACCCAAAGATAGCAGCCGACCCACTCAAGAAAGCCGTATAAACCACACTCCAAATGAGAAGATCGCCACAGCGAGCTGTCAGACACGTAATCCACACCACATCTTGGTAGCGATCGCTTGTCACAGCACCTTCACAACCATAATCACCTCGTAAAAAGTCTAGCGGTACTTTGACGTCACCGCCTCACGTCACCAACACCACCACACCGGTAGTACCACTACCGTGCCGATGCGTCACCGCCGCATTATGCGGACAGCACA